GTGAGGTGTGTCTTTTTTTTATGTATATTTTTTATATATATATATATATATATATATATATATATATATATATATTGATAGGACCTGGAATGTTTTGGACAGTACTGCCAATGTCTTATTTGGCTTGTGAGCTCTTTGGGTCCTGGATCACTTCTGAGTACACTTTTGACACTATATGAAGAATGACTTATAAAAAATATAGCTAATGTGTTTTGGGGCTGGTCCAAGACATGGCAAGAGTAATGCTGAAATAAATACAATACCACATTCATAAAGTAAAGCATATGGACTACGGGGTAGAAAGATGGATAAGCTCAGGAAGGAGGAAATGGTTGCTATAGCATCCAACTAATATCGGGGAAAGGTCAAGAATTATTTCAGTTGTCATATTCTTTGAGAACACACTGATAGATCCCAAGTATCAATAAATCAAGCAGTCTGGATGACTGTATTTGGAACTGTAACATTCTCTCCACTCACACATTCAATTTTCTACCTGAATTTCCTAACTTTATAAAGAAGCCATTATTGCATCTCCCATCTGCTAAATATGGGGGAGTTTCAACCTTTAAGTGACAACAATGCAATTAATTTATGTACCGATAAGTACAGCTCCTTGGTTTGCAGTTACATCCTATAGCCAACATTCTACCCCCCCAACCAAATAAAGACTTAAAAAAAAAAAAAAAGTGTTGTTCTGAGAAGCCTGTAGGCTCTAAACAAAAGTTCTACTGAGTTATTTTCTCCATGGAATGAAACACTGGAGTTTTCTTGGAGCTCCACCTTGTGGAACCAGAGTTTTGAATTTCCAACAGAACCACTGGCACCAACACATGTAATAACATGGGTACAACTTGCATGAACCTCTACAGCATATTTTCCACGTACTTATAAACCCACATAAATCCAATAAATAAATACTGAGGTGTGTGACAGTGTGTGGTTTCATGCAGCAGTGAAATGCCAAAGAATTACTGTATCTACCAAAATACAAGTTGACTTTGTATTTGAGGTGACCCCCAAATAATAGGATTCTATACATGGATTCCTTGTTGCATGAGGCATCCTGGCCCAGGGCAGGCAATAGCTCAACTCTGGCTGCAGCCCCAAGCCCCAGGGCGAGAGCCAGAGCTGAGCCACCACCTGCCCTGGGCCTGTACTTGAAGCCAAAGCTGAAGCTGAGCTGCTGCCTGCTCCATCCCCTATTCAAATCCAAGATGAGGCTTTTTTTCACCCATGCTGATTGGGGAGGGAGGGAAAAACCCTCATCTTGGATTTGAGTAAATACAGACAATGCTGGTAACATAACGGCCTTGTTACACATTACATGTAGCACATGCTAATTTTAATTGGTAGTAAAATTAGCACATGTTTTGAGCAGTTGCACATTAAGAGTTAATACTCCCTGTAATGTGCACTACTCTGACTTGCCCTTAGAAGGCTGGTGAGCCAAGCTAGGAGCCAAGCTAGCTCTGTGCCTGCCCAGCTCACCTGCTCTCAGTGGCAGAGTAGGTGGCCCAAACTGTAGGCAGCATGGGAGCTGGCAGGAACCCAGGGGGCCTGCCAGTCCCTGCTTGCCTGCCATCTGGATCCCCACTCCCCTTGCCAGATCGAGCCTTCCTCCCCACCCACCAGCCCAGATAAGGCTTGCCACTGTCCCACCCGTCCCCTCTATGCTGGGGCTCCCTCTCTGCCACTCAGAACTCCCTCCCTATCCCCACTAGTCCTCGTAGCTCACCCCAACCACCTGTGTCCTCTGGCTCACCTGCAGCTCCCGACATTATCTTGGGGAAACAAGCAGGGAAGAGGAACCCACCAGCTGCCACCACTACTCTCTGAGCTAGACTCAGCCTAGAGAGTGCCGGTAGTAGTGGCAGGCAGGGTCCCCTTCCCCGTTTGTCCCCCAGAAGCAAGAGAACTGCTGACCATTATCTCTGAGAACTTGTGGTGATTGGGAGACGTCCCAGATGATTGGAAATGGGCAAATAGAGTGCCCATCTTTAAGAAAGGGAAGAAGGAGGATCCAGGGAACTGCAGACCAGTCTGCCTCAGCTAAGTCCCTGGACAAATCATGGAGCAGGTCTTCAAGGAATCCATTCTAAGCACTTGGAGAAGGTGATTAGGAACAGTCAGTATGGATTCACCAAGGGCAAGTCACGCCCGACAAACCTGACTGCCTTCTATGATGAGGTGACTGGCTCTGTGAATGTCATGAGAGCAATGAATGTGATATTCCTTTACTTTAGTAAGGCTTTTGATATGGTCTCCCACAACATTCTTGCAAGCAATCCAAGGAAATGCACTGGATGAATGGACTGTAAGGTGGATAGAAACTGGCTGGATCGTCTGGCCCAAAGGGCAGTAAACAACGACTCGATGTCTAGTTGGGAGATGGTATCAAGTGAAATGCCCCAGGGGTTGGTCTTGCGGCTGGTTTTCTTCAGCATCCCTTAGCAAGTTTACAAATGACACCAAGCTGGGGGGGAGTACTAGATACTAGGGCTGTGTGAAGCTTCGGTCCCCGATTCAATTTGGCAAAGATTCCATTCAATTCGGTGGCCATTATCTCCGAATCGAATCAGGAGATCCTTTAATCTCTCTGAATCAAATCAGAACCCTCCAAATTGATTTGGACATAGACACAGTTTGAAATGTTTTTTCTACATATCTCTAGGTAGCAGGTGGCTTGTGAACACTGCGATTCTGGGGCGCATGGAGTGTCCCACAGAAGAGCAGGGGACTCCCCCACGCACTTGGCAGCAGACCCAGAAGTAAACCAGAAGCACTTCCAGTCCACTTCTGGGTCTGCTGGGGAATCCGCAGGGGGGCTCCCCGCACCCCTCAGCTTGGCGACTGGTGCCTCCTGGGTCTGGGGGATAGCACCCAGGGTCCCCCTGTGGCCGACTGCCAAGTCAGGTGGGTGCAGGGGGGCCCTCAGCGCACTCCCCGGGGGACCCAGAAGTGGACTGGAAGTACTTCTGGTCCACTTCCAGGTTTGTCGCCAAGCACATGCAGGGCCCCCCCGCACACTCCTGTGGGATGCTCCATGCACCCCAGCTGCACTGGTACCTCGAGGTATGTAGAAAAAATATTTAAAGCTGTGTCTATGTCCGAATCGCTGATTCTCTGAACCAACATCAAATCTTCAGATTTGGATTTGGCCGAATTGAATAACGGACAGTGATCTATATCAATTAATCGAATCACTGTCCCTGATTCAGGCCGAATCGAATAGGGCCCACTTTGCACACCCCTAATAGATGTATTGAAGGGTAGGGCTAAGATTCAGAGAGACCTAAACAAATTGGAGGAGTGGACCAAAAGAAACCTCATGAGGTTCAATGAGGATGAGTGCAAAGTCCTGCACTTATGATGGAACAATCCACTGCACCAATACAGGCTGAGGACTGACCAGCTAAACAGCAGCACTGCAGAAGAGGACCTGGGAGTTACAGTAGGAAATAAGCTGAATATGAGCCAACAACATGCCCTTGTTCTGAAGAAGGCTAGCAGCATACTGGGCTGCATTAGTAGGATTGCAGCAGGGGGGAGGGGGAGGGAGAGGGATAAAGGGGAAGGGGCAGGGGTCAGAAGCCCCAGTGTCTGGTATGTGCCCAGAATGGGAAATGGGAAGGGAAGGGAAGGGGAATTCTTGCCTTTAGGTTCTCCCCTGGCTGCCCCCACTGTCACTGTGGGAGGAGACAGAGCAGCTGGGAGTGATGCCTCCTAGGATGCTGGAGGACCATTTCCAACTAGTTTTGGGCCTGTGGAGCAGTCACACATGACTGCAACATGAGCTGCCCAAAACCAGTTAGAGATAATCCTTGATGGAAAAGGATTATCTCTAAACTGCTCAGAGGGCCCTTAGTACATATTTCCTTGCCCTAATACATGGTCACTCCTGTTTTAAAGGTCCTTAACATGCATTTAAGTTACTGTGTAACAACACCCTAATGTCAACTGAAAAAGATAGTAAAACTTTAGGAAGTGTTTTATCTCAAATCTTTAAAATATGGTGTTTCCTAAAAAAAAGCACACAAAACAAAGATCTCCTAAACACAAGCCAAGTTGTAACAGGCCTCAGAAACCAGTTCTGCAGCACAAACTGAACTGCTGCTGTTCCTTGCTAGAAGACTTTCTGGCCCACACAGAACATGCTTCAACAGGGCCATCAAGTTACAGGCCTGATAGATCATGGCAGGAATATGTGAAAACAGCTAGCGATTCAGTCTCTTTCCTCTTAGAAACAACAAAACAAAAACAAAAAAACAACAGGTGAACTTTCCAAGATTCATAGTCTTTTCCAGGTACAGAGACAGAACTTTCTAAAACTGAAATCTGAGAACTGTCTCACCAAGGTGGACATGCAGGAATGGCAAGTGTGTTGGCAAGATGATTGGATTGGTTCATTAATTTGGAATGCCAATACTCCTTTCATCAGGAATTTAAGGATGTCCTTGGAACATACACTACACTTTTCATATTTGAACTTAGCTGAACCTGTCACTAAAACCTGAAGTTCACTTTGCAAACAAGTTAATAACTGCTACCAGGAAAATTATATTACCCATAGAAAACTTGAACTCTTAGAAACTGAGTGGCTCAGAAGAGTAATAATCAGTTTTGTCAGTTATATTAATCTGTAAATACACAGAAAATTGCTTTGCCTTTTGTGTTGGGAAAATAAAGGATTTACTCAGTTGCATTGCAACACTGATTTTAAAGCATTTTATACTGAGCTGGTCTTTAAAAAAAAAAAAAAAGAGGGGGGGAGTTTATTTACACACATTGTTTGGCTTGTACCTGATTTAAAACTTTTTGCAGATATGGTGTTCCCATCCGATCTGCCATATGCCGATAGGCTGGATGGGAAAGGAAGAATTTCCTTTCTGCCAGCAGAGCTGCTTTAATATCTTTCTTGCCATCAATGTCTTTCTGACTTCGGTTTATGACTCCAATATACCCTAAAACAAAATAAATCCAGAAAATTTATCCAGGCTGGCTTAGTTCACACAAAAATATTCAAATTCAAACATTCTGGGTATTGTTTTAAATAGTGTGATGAGGGTTATAGGCTCTAAAGAGTTCAGACTCGATACAAGCAAGCACATCTCCATGGAAGTCAAGGACTTAAAAATTCTGTAATGTCTAAAATTGTGGTGTAAATTTTAAATGAAGTGTAAGTTGGGGAGAAACCATGTTGAAATGGAAAAACACTAAGGCAACAAACATGATAAAATAGAGAGCCTTGGTCCTAAGCTTTCCTGTCATCTGGTCTGATATCATTGTAGCTGGAATGCTTTCTGTGTAGGGATATTGAGATAAGAATCTACTCAGTGAGACTGTATTGTTCTAATCCAAAATGACTTTGAAATCTAACAGTGGAAATGAATATGTCTGTGGTTCCAGAAATAATCATAGAGAACACTTCTGAAAGGAGGCAGAGCTTAGGCTATAGGGGCAGTATCGACATTCCAGTGGTTGCTTCCAAATTCCATCAAGAGAAGACAGACTCCTCTGTTGTGAGGATCAACAGACTATCACAAGAAAAGATGTTTACAGGTAACCAAAATTCATACTTCCCATTAAAAAACCACTGGCCCAGCCTGTTTTCTGATATTTTTTCTCTTATTGGAATGTTTAAGTATAGCCTCCGGTTACATTTGCTGTTTCACAATTTAGTGCAATGGTAAAGGCAATGAACTCAGGTTCCCCGTAACCTCTGCCTCAGCTCCAGAACACAGCACTATGTTAAAATTATGCTACCTTCTGGGTTGCTAAATACCCGTTTCCTCATCACCACTTTGCTACAGAAGCAATGGGCATGTGGATTTGAATGCCTACCTCTACGAAGAGGGAGTAATTTGTTCTCCAAAATTTCTCTGGCATCTGTTCCTTCATCCATCAGATCCAATTTTGTGATGACACCAATGGTTCTAAGTCCTGCGCCATCAGGAAAATAATAGGAAAATATCACTTAGGCTAAAGAAAATCAACACTTCATTGACCTGTGATGACTTTACTTACAAGATAAAGAAATAAAGTATTTTCTCACCAGTCTTACAGCTCTACTCAGGGAATTTTGTACAGGAGAGATGCATTTAAGTTATTGGTCATTTATTTATTTATTTTTTATTAAAAACTTCTGAAACATTTCAGAGCTAGGGGGAGTGCAAGAACAGAGGATAAATTCTGTGTACATCCATCATCTATAAGCAAAGGATCAGCATAACAAAGATTATGGATGTCTATTTATTTCTTTGATTTATATGCCACCCTTCCCAACAAAGGCTCAGAGTGGCTTACAATAAGAGTGCAGAACTTATAAAACAGGAAAACAAAGCAACTTATAAATCAAGTACAGTATCAACATAAAATGGAAATCCCAGCCTAGCTTCACTTGCTAAACTCCTACCTAAACAGCAAAGTTTTAAAGTGCTTCTGAAAGATGTCCAGACTCGGTGTTTGGCAAACGTGAAGGTGGAAGGAATTCCAGAGCTGAGGAACGACTGCTGAAAACAGCCTCCTACACATTTTGTCAAGTGGACTTGGTCCTATCAACCACATATGAAGTAATTTAAGCCATGCTAAACAGAGACAAGAAGTTTGCTTGTTAGAGGCTGTAGTGCTATCACTGGTGGTTAGTATTGCAGTCCTCACTTCTGGCAACACATCCTTTTTGGTTTGCTACTATCTCATCAAACTCCTCTTGAAGCCTACCTTTGACCTTTTATTCTTTTAAACTTCTATTTGTTACTCGAGGTATTGTAACAGACTATCCTTCCAGAACAAAGATAGACTCAAGATGTCTTGAATTCATCACTACCACTGCTCAGAGAAAGAGGAAATGCTTGTAGTAATTCACAAAGTTCACAACTCTTACGAGATTTGCATTTTAATCCCCCACATGGCAGGGAACTGGTGTTATTATGTTGCCAACCTAAACTCTTCTTGTTGTGTGCATTACCTCAATGAGCTAGCCACTCCCAGAAAACAATCACTTTATAACATTTATAGTACAGAAGTACCTAAAGGCTACCATCAGCATGAAGGTCCCTCTGTGCTTCAGTACTGTTCTTAGGGATGCATAACCCTTTCCACAATGAGGTATATTTCATGCAATTGCCATAACTTGGTACATTTTAAACTACATTTATAATATCTTTTGAATTCTCCTGCATGATCAGAAATCCCATTCTTTTGATGTCAAAATTTAAGATTTTCAGAATCAATGTTGTTCTTGTGCTGTTAAATGCATTGTTTACCTGAGCACGTTATAATATGTTTTTACTAACAATATTTTTAGGACAGGAAAGGTGTACATTCTTTCATACTTACCTTGAGGGTCTACTTCTTTAGCTAACTTCAATGCATCCGAGTTGGCAAGATCAGTGTTGGCTGGAGTCACAGCCAGGATCAGACAGTTTTCTCGAGAGATGAATTGCATAATCATCTCTCTTATCTGTTGTTCAATATCTGGAGGTTGATCCCCTACTGGCACTTTAGTGATTCCAGGCAAATCAATAAGGGTCAAGCTTAACACTGAAAAGACACAAGACCACAAGCCTTACTAACAATACTGCACACCTAGGTCCCTGCTACACATTCAAATTAAAGCTGGATAGAAACCAGCTATAGAGTTGTTACAATCTTGAAGCACTAACTTTGTAGCTGATTGGTTCTTTTTATAGCTGGATAGTTATTTTTGTCATAGATAATTACTTTGCATGTGTGGCTGGTATAAATTTATTGCATGATTAACCAGTTAATTGTGTAGCATACATAACATGAAGCCGGGGAAGAGTACGAATGAATCAAAAGTCTGAAGTCCTAGTGAATATTGACACATCAATTTATATAGTTTACTTTAGAAGTACAGAGAACCTTATATAACTAGCTTTAAAAAGGTACACAATATTTGTAGCACAATGGCAACAAACAATTAAAATCAGTTAACATAACTTATAAAATTACAATTATCAACAGCAGCACTTTTCAACTAGTGTCTTACTTCTAAGAATATTCTTAGATACTAAACATAGAATTTGTGAAAAAAGGACTGTACATATGCTAGACATTTCAAAGTTATCCAACAAACAAGTTTTACATGCTCTACATTACAGGCCAATATCAATACAGGTAATAATTTAATGAGATGGGCAACCAGGGCACAAATCCTGATCACCCTCTTAGAAGGGGCACAAGAGCTATAGCTGCTGTCATTCTTGGCCCAGTCTCTGATGCTGCTGTAGCCAGCCCAACCCCTGCTAACATGATGGGTACTAAAAATAAGACAGCCTCAGTGGCACAATGTTCTGCCCAGTCTAATTAGCTCTGCTAAGATGCAACGTATATTATTCCACACACAATACCACACTACTATAGTTACACTGCTCCTGGAACCCAAAGTAACTTGGGAATCTTTGCCCGGCCCTGCAGATTTCTGTGTAAAAATCCACTAAGGGACTAGACTGTCTCTCTTAGGAAAAGGTCATTTTAGGACTCAAGAGGCTGAATTGATTTTTGTCATAACCAAATGGGTTGAGTGCCCCGTCACAATAGAACTGCCCCAAATAACCGCAGTTACTTTCAAATTTGGTACGTTCTGCCTCATTAGCTATTCCCACCTGGCAGTCTGTTATTGGCTACTCTAAACGTATAAAAATCTGTGCAGCTTCCGCCCAAGTCAGAGAGCTCTGAGCACATGGTAGAGTACGGAGAACTTTGCCACGTGGCAGAGAAAAGCTGGTGGACTGATCACCCTCCAACATCTCCCCGTCACCGTCTGTTCCCGATGTATCCTTCATCCTGCATGCTCGTTACTGTCTACAAACTCGCCAGCTCGTTTTGTTGCCAGTTACCTGTAACTATGCAAGCAACTCGTTACCTGTAACTACATAAGCAACCTTTCCACCTGCGTCGTGGCCACCAGCGGCGTAAGTAAAGTTAAAGTAAAAGTTATTTTGCAACCAATACACTGTGTCCCGCCTCTCCATCCACCAGCCCGCTTGACGGCTGAGTACTCAGCAATCCTCCTCAAGTCGGCTCCGGCCGTCTGAGACAATTTTATCACCCAATGAAGTTTTTACTTAGCTACTAAGTATGGATCCACACAGTGGTCTTTATGGAAGGTGGAACCTAAGAAACAGGTGATAGCTTTGAATAGCTTACCAACAGAAGCTTCTTCCGACCTGGCCCCAGAGGAGACCACTGTTCCAGTGTAAAGGTTCTTCAGTTTTCTAGAACTTTAGAAACCAGCTGAACTGTAAATTGGATTGTGCACAGGATCCGACAGAAGTGAAAACAAACTGGAAACTTTCTCCCCTCAAGAAGCACAAGTACCAAGCTAATAACTATAGGCAAGAAGGTATAATAGGATCAGAGCAAAGTAGTGCTGAAAAGGACCTCACAAGGTCATTTAGTCCAGCGCCCTGGTCACGGCAGGATTGTCCTCAACTAAACTATCCCAGCCAAGGGGTTGTCTAACCTGCTCTTGAAAGTTTCCAAGGATGGAGATTTGAAAAGTTCTTTAGACAGCCTGATCCAATGCTTGACCACCCTTATAGTCAAGAACTTCCTCCTAAACTCCAACCTAAATTTCCCCTGCTGAAGCTTGAGGCCATTGCTCCTAGTTCAGTTCTGTACGGTCACAGAGAAAAGCCCATCTCCATCCTCACTGTAATTGCCCATCAGGTATTTGAAGACTGATATCAAATCCCCTCTTCAGTCTCTCTTCTCCTAACTAAACACCCCTAGTTCTTTCAGCCTTTATTAAGTCAGGCTTCCAAGACCTCTAATCATTTTTGCTGCTCTTTGCAGAACTCTTCCCAAACTGTCCACATCCTTCTTGAAGTGTGGGTCTCAAAACTGGACACAGTACTCCAGGTGAGGCCTCACCACTGCTGAATACCGTGGAAGAACCATTTCCCTTGATTTGCAAGTGACACTCCTGGACACTTCTTGGCCATTTGAGCCACTTTCATTATAGCTACCCATTTTAGAAGCAGAAGTAGAGATGACGCAACTGAGAAGCAGTACAACTGCAAAGCGGATGACTGCGTATAGACATGAACTGGTTTATTATGAATTATGACTTGGAAGGTAGCTACTCACATTTTCTTGGATCACTCTCAAAGCAGGGCATATGTGAGCTCTGCTAGGCAGCATTGCTGGAGGTGAAGACAACTTTGAGACAATCAATCAAAGCTTTCAGACATCCCGGCTTTGATCTCAACCAACTTGAACAGGACAGTAAATATCTTAAGGCAGGCCAATATTTGGGCCATTCAGTCCCCAGCAGGTTCTTTTAAGACATTACTGAAATGAGGTCCAACCAAATGAGCACAGCATTTTCAGGAGCTAAAATTCTGTCAGTAGAATCAATTTGACCATTCACAATTACAGGAAATTCTCAGAAGTCAAAGTAGGAACAATAAAAAAAGGGAAGATAGAGATTTTCATTATGCTATCATAGGATCGACTTTGCAACTGAACGCCAACCTTACTTGTGGGAGCCAAAAAAGGGTGGTTAGTGAGTTGGAGTGACAGGGTATTCTTCTTATACAGCCTCCTGAGCAGGAAAAAAAGGATTCCCAGATGGAGGAGACCATGTAGATTAAACTAAATCATTTGATTTAGGCAATAGCTGCTGTACTCAAAGGACTGTACCACAGCAGGTGACAGGACACACACACACACACACACACACACACACACACACACCTCAGCCCTTCTATTGCTCAAATTATTCTGAACATCCAAGAGAATCCTCTCCACTGATGAGCTATAAGGCAAAGCACGATATCCCACTCCAGCTCAGCTCTTAATAGCTGTGGCAGGTCTGTACAATACTGAAGCATTTGAGTGCAGAATGTTCCCACTTGGAAGATTAAAGCTGTCAGTCAGGTACAGCATCATCCCTGCTTCTTCCCCTACTTATTTAAGCTCTTTTTGTTCTTGATCAAGACATCAGTTTAGACGGAAAGAAAAAAGGCCTTGGCAAAAAAAATAAAAATATACAGAGATATTTTTTCAACAAAAGGTAGCAACCAGTGGGAAAGCCTTCTTGGAGGAAGTTACAAAGCAAAATGTTTTTTCTAGACTAGCTACTACCTATCTGCTTGATAGATGAGGGAAAAAAGCTTTATGGTCTATGCCAGGGGTCAGCAATGTTTAATAGCAGGTTGCCGCTTGCAACCTAGCTTCCCCTGCTGGATGACAACCCTACACAGAGCCCAAGCCCTCCTTGCTGTGTGCCAAAGACTGGTCTTGCATCCCCTTACTGCAGCCTTTTCTTATCATCACCACTGGTGATTGGTAAGACCCAAATTCAGTAGTGAGGCTAAGCACAGGTTGTAGTAGTAAGGCATCTCTCAAAAAATGCAGCTTGACATACCATATCTTAATATATTTTAAAATTGGTTTTCAGTGATTGTATGCACTGTAAAAAACAGGGACCTACAATAGGCCAGTTTCACAGTGCAGAGAGGTTTCAATGTTAAGGAAAAGAGAAGGATCTTAATAAGTACAAGCCTTTTTAGAACATATACAAATTACACACTCAGAACCTTTACTTGAAGCCAATTTTATGAACTGTCTCTTTCTGGAAGTTTACTTGGTCAAACGATGAGAACACACACAAGTGATTATATATAAATGTTAAACTACTGAATACAGGGTAGAATGGCTTTACTTACCATGTGGTGAATATACTCTTAAATTAATAGGTATTGAAGAAATGCCTTTATTCATTCCTGTTACTCTGTCTGTTTCAGCTTCAATTTCTTGACGAACTTCATCAAAATCTGTAAACTTCCTCCCTTTGCAGTGTAGAAACTCAGCATATTCTGTAACAAACATATGCGTTTTACCTAAGGTTTTTAAGATTACAAAACAATTGTTTTGTAATCTTTAGATAATAATGCCAAAAATGCATGCTGAACTCATTGAGGAGTTCAGAAGTGTCGTGAATATGAACACACGTTCTAAACAGCACTGCTCCAGATGAAAGACAGCCCAGAATGAAAAGGGTTGGGTTAAAAAGGGGGTTTACTGGATATAATTATTGTTTTTATCTTTTACAGCCCATCCTCTGAAGCAACATAAGGGGTTCAAATAAATAAAACGTAAATTAACGGACGAAGAAACAGATCAGAAACTACATCTGATTCCATTTACCTGCAATGTATCAGTGAACCCGGGAAAAGGAATACAAGTTGTGTGCCATGAGAAAATTATTTTTTTCCTGAAATGTTAAGATTCCATGTTACTCTATATTTTAACAGAGAATCCCTGTACATTTCTAAATGAAACCTAAACATTCATTTTTAAGTACAGAAACCCTCATTTTCCCTGGAGAATCCATATGAAATCCCAGCAGTATAAATTAAAAGTTTTAGAGATTTCCCCAACTCTTTTTGATGATTCTGCATGGGGGGAAAAAAAAAGAATTTATAATATATACATTTCACCAGTCACCATACAACTTATCCTCCTGCCCATGTAGAATATCTGTCATGAATTTCCCTGCTTTGAAGAATGGTTGATATATTCTAATTTTTTGTTTTATTTCTTTATTAATCATAGGATTAATTTTCTTATAACCTTGCAGCCAAGTCCTGAAGTGTACAGTCACTCTCCTTTGTACTTTTCTATCCTGTCAGTTGTGTACCAGAAGCATGATTCATCACCCTAGAGTTGAAGGTTCTTCCTCCACACGGAGAAATAGTGCATAAAGTCAACTCCACTAGTATAGAGGCAATTAGAATGGCCTGGTATATAATTAATAATCATTAATGCAATTCCTGATGATGATCTCTGATCCAAATGAACTGTGGTTTTAAATAAAGAAAGAAAGAAAATGGAGTAAATGGGGGGGAAATCTAGGAATTTAATTATTTGCATTTCAATCAAATTTAGCAGTACCACACGGGATTAATCCACATATTTAATCATATTTTCACAGAGGAAGATATGTTTGTGTAGATGAAAAAAACTTGCTCAGGACACAATAGCAGATGAGACTGGCAACAGCTGGATTGAGCTGTGATTAAGAAAGTGTAACGAGCATCAGTAGTTTCCTGAACCTTCCATAAACCATTTTCTTACTGGAAGTGATATCGTCTCAACTGTACAAAGAAATGAAATTAAAACATAAAATGTATGCATCAAGGGTGATAGCTAAATAAGCTGAAAGCAAAAAGGGAAAATGTTCTTCTCTTTAAAATGTTGCAGTCCTTCTGGTTTCAAAAGTACAGGTTAGGGGGAATCCAAAAATAATATTAATGCCTTCTTTGAAGCGCATGAAAAATTAGGAAATGTATTTCAATAGATGATCTATAAAAATATTGGTAAGTAAAACCTTCTGGGTTACCTTTGACAATTTACAAATTCTAATGCAACTTTTGTGATTTTTTTTTTTAGAAAAGACTGTACAAGAACATTTAGTAGGGGTTTTACACATGCAACATATTAAATTACTTCCAACAAGAAGGTATGTCTGAATTTTTTCAAATATATACATGATCCACAATATTAAGTAATTAGTAACCCAGTAGGCCAGCCACATCTAGAAAGATTAAGCTTGTAAAACATCTGATCACAGAAAATGGAAGACTGCTGTCAAAATAAAATTATGCTGACAGCTTGGTCCTATTCTGATAGAATTCTACAAAAGGAAGTCCTTGTGTAAAGAAAAGTGCATTCTTATCTACAGTTTTCATATGATGGCTCATCAGATATTCCAGGAGAATATTGCAAAACAAACAGTTAGCATTTAGTGTATGGTCTGCTTACTCCATGGTGTGACTGATACAGCTGATGTTAAAAGAAGCTTCTCTTTGTTCCACTTGACTCTTAGTAAAAGAAAGAGACCCTGCCTGTTAATGTCAGTAATAACTATCATGCAACTTGAACAAAAGACTATACTTAACCAGGTAAGTAACCATCAACAAGAAAATAGATCCAGTAATATTTGTGATCCCTCCAATTCCAAAGACTTAGGCTGAAATAAAATGCAAAACCTATTAAGTGTTATGCACCAAGTAAGTCTGCAGAATAAAAATTAAATTAAACAAGTGGGGATTTGTTTTATCCCCTGCACTCTTTGGACTGCCTTTGATAGTGCAACCAACAGCTTAATTCTGCTAGTGTCACCATAAAAACAGGTTTGAACATAATCCCCTGAGGTCCCTTCCAACCCTAATTTTCTATGATTAATAAAGCTTTCATGCCATAACAAGAAATATTAATGATTACAATAAGTTTTCCTTAATTTTTTTGTTCAAATTGCCCCGCAGAAATTAGTCAGCAAGTAGAGATGACCAATTTTTAAAAATTGGATTAAATATAGGTCAAAGATGAAAGAGCTCTCTGCCTCAGTCTCCCTTGCATATGGCTCCCTTCCCATTCTAGACAGACATATTGGATACTGATCTGATAATATGTAATTGTTTTAGATTGACTCTTCTTAATGCCTAATTTTCAGGTGTCTTTCTCTTCTTAAAACCCAAGGCATGTTAAGAAGAGAATACTTTTCAAGAGAGTGAAAGAAGAGCAAATATATCAAACTTTTTTCCACCAGAAGCAAAACAGAAAGCTACCTAATTATTTCAAACACCACCTATTTAAAAGCCAGTGCTTCATTTTAAGAATAATGGAAGACTCACAAACAAAAAAATTCCAACACATTTAATTCTGTGCTATAATGCAGTGGTTCTCAACCTTTTGCACCTTACGTCCTACCAACCATTTTGTCAAAAAACCCTGGTCCCACCCTGATAAAAACAAAACCCCACTTTTCCCAAGAAGTGTATTCCCAAAGAATCTCAAGCCTGCAGGCCCCCTACCTTTCTCAGGAATGCCACTTTATTCAGATAAATCCCATCTACACAACCTTTGCGCCCCACTAGTTGAGAAACACTGCTATAATCTACAACTACAAAAGTTGTGATAACAGGCTACTTCAATTTTGATGACAGCAGAGGAGTCCTACAAACTGGCTAGATGGAATAACATGTTTCCAAATAGTTCCTTTTATGTTATCTTTTATTTCTCCCCACATCATCTAGCTTATTAAATAGGGCTCGCCAATTATACTATTAAAAATTAACCATGATTTATGTTTTTAAAGGACTATCAAACTACAGTTCTCAATTATAAACTGATCTCACAGATAGTAACTACTATGTTAGTAATGTCTAAAGTGAGGCAGGAACCTTTTCCACCTTGTGAATATTTCAGGAGTCCAGAATTATTCAACATTGTGAACTGGGACAAAATCTGATGCCTTTTGAAGGTTTTTGACAAAAAATAAAAAAAGATGGCATGCATATCCCAAAATAGCAGCTAGTGGCAAAATTCACTTAAAATAGGGGAAACTGGGTTCAAGTTTGGATGATCTGGAGAAAGGACCTGAACTGAGATTCCCTATATTCCAGATAAGTGATCTGACCACCAGGGAGTCTAGAATTCTGGTGATGTATATCAGTATGTCTGTCATTTTGATCAAAGCCCAGTGTGAATCCGTTTCAAGTCCAAGTTTTGCAGCAACAAGAACAAAACAGTCTGCACCTCACCTGAAAAAATTCCCCACCTTTCCAGTTGCACTCACTGGAATTCACAAAGGTAACTGGGCTAAAAACTTCTCAAACCGAGGTTCCATCCATGTTGGAGTATAAGTGGCATTGCTGGATCAGTGAAAAGTTTTTAAAGATGCAACAGTGTCTACTCAAAATATATTACAAGCTCAAAGGCAACATTTCCCCTGTCCTTGCACAAAGGGTAGAAATCCTCAGGGTTCATGGTGTCTCATTAAAAGATATATCTGCGAGTAAAAAAAATAAAAAAAAAATTTGTCCCATTTCATATGCAGAAGTTGTTTAAAGTAGACTTGTAACTGCTAGGCAGTAGAAAAAAAATGAGGAAAATGACAAGAATGCAAAAAAGGAAGCCTTTTAATTTAAGAGATCTCATCCACAGAGTGGGTCAAGGCCCTGGTAGCAGGTCAGTAAATTTCCTGGGAAGCTCTGTTGTTCTACCATGATTAATCAACCTAATGAAGTCAACCCCCATGCCTGATTGAAAATTTTGCTTTCCTTTTTCATGTTTGAGTAATCATCAGCCTTACTCTTCTTGACATTGCAGCTTTAGATGCTCTTGTCACTGACAGAGAAACCATCCAACTTTGTAATTGCCTCTGCCCTTGCTGTATATCAGTTTGCTCTTCTTACGTCTAATGATTACTTTGGTTTATATTTAGGATAAGATAATTCTGGATTACAAATGAAGTCAGGGTCTTGCATGACATGAATTGGTAACACTACTTTAGAAAGGAATTCTGCAGCTTAATAAAGAATCCAGTCTGTAAAGAATTAAAGAAAGGGTTATTTAATATGCTGTGGGTGTTTCTACAAGAGACATTTACTGCGCAGTAGACTAATTAGCTGCTTGGTCAAAGTTGCACATCTACATATCTGACCCTATTAGTCTGGAGTAAACTAATTAACGCTGCAGCAGGATAGTATTTGTAAATACTACAAGTATTTACACGTATGTGCAGACCAGGGTTGGCAACGTTTTTGGGCAGAGTACCAAAAACACCCGCAACCTTGACTTGTAAGATATTGGCATGCCAGGGGCGGATGGCAGAGAAGCTGTGAGGGGCCGAATCCTTATTGTGACAGTACAGCCTTGGCACCTTCCTCACCATCTGCCCCGAGGTGCATGTGCCAAGCAAAATGCCTTCATACGCCACGCTTTGGCACTTGTGCCAGGGATTGCCTACCCCTAGTGTAGATACTGCCCTGGCTGGGGTACAAGGGTGCTTCAGTAAAGGGGCTGATTTTAA